TAATGTGCACTGAGCGCGCACCAGTTTTGCGAAAGAAAAACGCTATAATATTAACACGGTTGATAGCGAGCGCCGAGACGACGTGCTTGAAAATCGCGATTTATGTGTTTGTGCGTATGTGCGTATGAAATGCCCGTGTCTCTAGGAGTCCCTGAATTTTTCTATATACCAACATTTCGCGGAATCGTCCGAGGTGGGAGGAATATTAAACCGCCGGAGAGCTCCTCTTCTCGGAACGGCGTTCACACGCAGTGGTGGTTTTTACGAATCTAAGAACCGCCGGATGAAAGAAGCGCCGTGAAGGGGAATCTAAATATTTTCACCGCGCGAGGATAACCGATCGCGTATACGCGGCCCGGCATTCCGACGGCGCGGCGTAAAACTGCGTAAAACTTGGCGCGCGCGAAAAAAAAGGAGGTCTCGAGGGTTTTGTAACGCGCCGGATAACGTATATACACACAGACGCGCCGTTGAATGTCATCGTTGAAAAACGCACGACGCACAAAAACCGTATTCGCGGCGCACTCCCCGTCGATCAACGCGCGTCGTCCGACCGAGAATTCGGAGCGAGGCGATCCGCGAGAGACACCGAAGGCCGGCGTTGTAGCGTCGCAAAATTTCGTTCGCTTACCTCTCGAAGCGTAGGCTCGAGGCGTCTCTGTTTCGCAGTTGCCTTTGCAGGTTAGGTTTTCGCCGGTTTGTAGGTGTAGGCTCGAGGGAACGGTGCCAGCACGTGCCAGGCTTCCCGACGATCCGCGTCTCGTTCCCCGGCCGGAAGACGCGATCCCGACGACGGACGGTTTATCGATCGTCCTGGCGTGCGAATCCGCGCGACACACGTGCACACACGACGCTACGCGACTCCTCGACGACTTCGGGTAAATTGGACGGACTTTTTCGAACAACGATCGCTCACTAGTCACTACATACTGGCGCGCGCGCGCGCGCTTCGTACATACCAGAGCTGGTTATACAAGGTGTCCAAAGAAAGCAACGCGTAGATTATCTCTATAAATTACAAACTTTTCCATAAATAACCTTTATCTGTACAAATAGCATTTTTGTTCAATATTAATATTAAACAAAATCATCGATAACAGATTTATAATAATCTCATAAAAAAAATATTTAATATTTTTTAATGCACGATTTATTTTAATAAAAAAAAACAAAAAAGCATGTTAAAAAGGGTGATGATATTAATGTCGCAAAAGAATATTTTGCGGAATAAATCTATTTAATTATTTAACATTACATGTACATCTTTTCGATCTATATGATTAAATATAATCATCATAAATAAAATGGTATATGCGCGCTATATTTTGAGGAAAACAATATCGGACTTACGTCTATGCAGTATGCTTATCTCTAAAGATGCTAAGGATAACAATGTTATCTCGTTAGCTAGCACCATTCATTATTAACAAAACTCAAACTTCAAATATGTTTTCTCGAATCGTTAATAAGGAAATACATAAAAATTCTATTAAATTTGAAATAAATCATCAAATAAATAGATAAAATTTTATTAGAGAACAATAAAAAATGGTGTTTTATATTACTTTCGTTCGACTATTTTTCGTATTTAGTTACAGCAACAAGATTCGATCAGATTCTACATTGCTCTTCGCACTGTGACTACCAAAATACTAACTTTTACTAAAAAATACTTCACATGCTTTAGGCTTTTATTGCGTTAATTACTTTTGCATTGAGAAGTGCTATATATTCAACTATACTTACAATTTCAAATTATATTAATATTGGGATTAATATACATATTCCGAACGAGAAATGTTTAGGCGAAATCAGAGCGTACACATTCTTTTGGTTAATCTCCCTCTTGTACTTATTTTCGTGATTTTTTTTTCAACATTGTTATATAACTATATTTTTTGGTTTATACGAATCTCAATTAAAACGATAGAAAAATAGATTATACATCTCCAATTCTAAACATCGATCTTACTTGTATAATTAATAATTAACGTATGAACTACAGGTAATACATTCAAATAATCTTAATACTTAAATCCGAAAGACGAATAATATATTCCGTAATATTTGCGGAAAAATCAAAATGTATATAATAGCATTGTTGATTTATTGTAGATACTATATTATAAGATTTGCGTATCTCTTAAGCGTTGAATTTATCAAACTTATTTAATAAGATCAAGATGCATTATCTATAAAATTATGAAAAAATCTTGGGTTAACTCCTTTGGCATGCCCATAGATCACTTCTTTAAATCAAATCACTGCTTTAAACGATCACAAGATATTATAATTGACAAAATCCGGCATATTTTATACATGATTTAGGTAATTTATCTGATATTCAGTCAAGCAAGTACCAGGAATGTCATTATACGCGAATGATATTACATGTAAAAGATAAGCTCGGGTATTTGACCTTCATCAGTAGATGTGCCATTATTATCTCCCAACTCACTGTTAAATTTGAATTTAACTTTCCCATTTCCTGAATCACAATCCACCAACACGCTTTTCATTCCTTTTGTGCCATAATATGAGTATGGCCCCTGAAAAATAAATATATAAATTTTTTTTTATTTACATATTCCCGTATATAATAATTAAATAATAAATCAGATACAGCAAAATACAACATAACAACCTTGAAAGTTGCTGATGCCGTATAAATCGTATTTGGTAAGATTTCCGCTAATTCTTTGAACATTAGACGGTATGTGTACTTTGATCCATCACAGCTGAAACTTGTTGCATTTGTAGCTATCACCTTTCCTGATGCGGTGTGAATTAATTCGACTGTTACTTCATATATCGCTGGTTCTTGCGTGCTACCGTAAACTCCATAACCAAGTAGAAAGATACGTCTATCCACACTAAATCTGCAAGAATTAAAATGTTCGATTACATCGGGCATCGGTGATTTCCATCGTTAACTATACGCACGGAATACGGATTATAATTTTTTACCGAATGCGATCACTAGTTCCGAAATATCCCCATCTACTCTTTGTATGTTGAAACCTGCATACAGTCTGTTCCTTGCCTGTCATACAACACCGCGGCATCGTTAGAAATCCCACCGCAGGTTTGGGATTCAGTATGAAATACGAGAATAAAGATAAGACCTGTAAAATTTAATTGTAAATTTTTAGAGTGTAAACCTTTTTTAGCTTAAATGTAACAATTATCATATGTATCGAAAGAATGTTGTAATACTAGCCTCTGAATAATTTAACAATCCAGATTGTGCTGGACCCGCTGTAAATTCCTCTTTCGACATAAGGGGAAAACGAACCAAAGACAAAGCATCGCCCAAAACCAGACGTTGATTTTCTGGAGTAACTGATAATTGCTGCCTTACACATTCAGCTTCTGACCACCTGTACAAAAATATAAGTATTATGTAGAATGAACGGTACACATTTCACCCCTCCCACCCACAGCGTTGGAACATACCTTAGAACAGCTTGAAACAGTTTAGATTCCCTAACACGAAGAGTATCTCTTTTTAAGACTATCATCAATGTATCGATATCGATATCTGTGAACCCATCTGCATTGAAGGCCTCAGTCGTGAATCTGTCTATGGTGTCCAAACATACCGAGGCTAATTGCGGTTCGTCAAAGAGACGGGCTTGCGTCAACAGCAAAAAAGCATTGTCACTCGTCAAATTATTTTTCAAAAAATCAACGCAATGCTTCTCTAAAGCGGCCACCGCGTATTTCTTAGCAGTATATAACGTCGTCATCACAGTTTCAGGATCTATCTGTATTTCATCAGTGTATAGAAAAAGGAGCACTGCCAAAAATGCAGCAGGCTCTACATCAGGTACTTCTATTTCCGAAGAAGCTGTCGCAAGCGTTCCGTTAAACATTGCGTCGAATACAGCACTTCCAGAGGACAGGACTAGTTTGTGAGCTGGTATACGTTGTTGTTGCGCGCCTCTTCCCACCAGGAAAGTCACATCTGACAGTATTTCATTGTTAAAGAGGAATACAATCCTTTCGCGCATCGTTGCCTTTGTACCTTGCCAGTTGTACATAACTGCAGGTTGATTCTGCGTGGTGGAGTTCTCCAAAGTAGCGTTATTCTGCGCTCGTCCATCCAAATACGATGTGTTTGCCGCGTTAATAGGTGGCCGGCTGAAAGTGCCAAGAATACGACTATATCAAATAACAAATACTAACAATCTCGCCGAAGATCATAATAAATACTTTGAGTTTTTTCGAAAAACATTCAAAGAAACTTGGACAAGCAATGCTAATTCCACGCGTTATCTTACTCCGGGCGGAGTAAAATTGCTTACTTATCGCTGTTCGCGAACGAGGCCTCGCTCCGCGCGGCGGACGACGAGCTCGGCGGCTGGTCCTCGTCGCCGACGAAGTTGAGCGCCCGGGAGAGGGTGATGTTTCGCAGCGGCTCCCTCAACGACGACGGCCCGCTGCTGCCGCTGCCGTCGGCCACGACGCCATCGCTGCTAGCCGCTGCCGTCGAGGCCGCCGAGCCGCCGGCAGCCAGCGTCGCGTTCTCGGTCGTCGCGACGTCGCGCTCGTCCTCGGGATGCGCCGCCATCAGTCGCAGGCCCTGCATCCGCGACGCAATATTCGGCACGTCGTTCAGGGCGGTCTCCGTAGACATGTTCGCGCACCAGACGTAGTACTTGTCCAGGTACTGCCCCGTCTCATTTAATCGCGTCGCCTCGCGTCAACGCGAGCGGCGGCGGGCGCGGTCCTCACCCTGGTTATCCCCGAGCCGCGATCGCGATTCTCTCCTCCGAGCGCGCCGGGTTCTCGCCGAGAACGAGATGCGTCAAGACGCCGAGAGAGAGACATGCACGCACGACGACGCGCGCTACAGCGACATCCTGCTGCCGCGGCTCCTCACCGTAGTGATGCGCGATTCTGATTCGATTATTTGAGAATCGATTCTTTTTCATGAATTAATCGTGATTATTAATCGATTATTCAGACGGTCGATTATTTGCGAATCGATTCTTTTTTCTTGATAATCGATTTAATCGATTATTTTCAGGGAGCCTATTGGCTCCTACACATGGGACGCAACACGCTTGCGCGCGGCAAGAAGCGACGCGGTAGCCAATCAAAGTTCGCCAACTGTCGCCGCGCGGTAACCGTTACCGTGTTCAGTTGCGCATTCCGTGTGCACGTGCAGCCCATTTTACTTCGAAAGTTCTAATTACGTCTTTATATTAAACAATTTGGTGTGTATCGCCGATTGCGAGCGACTTGGAGCTCGATTTGAAGCGAATGCAGCGAATAATTCCGCCATTACAAGAGTTCCCGGTCGTATTGTTTTATTATTAATAGAAACTCGGCGACGATTCGCTCGTTTCATTGTGTCGATCACGGCGGTGAAACCAGAGGTCGACGAAGACGAACGACAACGACGAGGACAATCCGTAAGTACTATGTGCAGCGTGTAAATTCTCTGTTAATGCTTTATTCTATTACCTGTTTGTAGTGTTTGTACCTTAGATTTACCCAGCTATTCTACGGTTTACTGCTCTTCTACAGGTCCTAAAGCATCAGTCGAAACAGCGAGGTCTCGTATGAGCCATGAGCACGTGAGGAACCGTTAACAACGGCTACGCTCTCCGGCGGAGAACCTCGATCGATTTAGCTTTGCACCATATGATGGCCAAATCTAGCGACTTGGATTGGCAAATCGAGCAAGAAACTGCACTTCCGCAGTCCATTAGCTGTTTCTACAGCAATGAGTAAGATATGTCAATTGATGAAAGAAAATCAGAGAGGGAGTCAATCTACTGCTGTCGTAGATAATATATCAAATACTATTGAGAAAACAAAAGATTTGTGGAACGTTCACGATGAATTGATAGCATCTTCATCAACAAACTGCGACGAGCCTGGTGGCGTACCAGTCGAACTTCGACAGTTCCTTAATGCTAATGTCGTCAACAGAAGCGAGGATCCACTAAAAGTTTGGTATAAACTGAAGGATATTTATCCAAAGGTGTACGAAATAGCCATGAAATATTTCGTGATTGTGGGAACGTCTGTCCCATCTGAACGCTTATTTAGTGCTGCTGGAGATATTATTAGCGCAAAAAGAAGCAGAATTACTGGAAAAAGGGCATCGGAGATTATATTTCTAGGATCTCTACCTAAAAAATACTGGACCTAAGTCACAGCGGTGCGGCGTCTCACCCGTATACCACATTATTATTATTCAAAGTTTCATTTTGCCATAACTATTATTCATTTTACCATAACTATTATTATTCAAAGTTTCATTTTGCTTCGTTTATACTTGTACTTGATAAGTCGATTTTGGTAACGAGCGTATTAATGTATTCACTGCAAATTTGTGCAAGTGGGGTATTCTGTTGTAAAAGAATTTCGCGACTTTATGATGAACATGTAATAATTCTTTTTCGTTATTACTTTAGTAACCTTCCATAATTTTAACAAAGAGGCACTAAATTATAATGTCAGTATCTCAGATTACGTTTGTATGTTATTTTTATGCGAGGAGTGTGTCTGCGTGCATTCGCCAATTAATGAGGTGACATAGTAGTATCGGTACAGTAGTGTCGAACAAAATATATTTGCAAGTAATGGAAATAACGACTTTAAGTATATGTATATTTTCCTGTGAAAATATATATTTGAAAATAATTATTTGCAAATATATTTCAGCCAATATTGGGACGTACATTGAGATGCAATTATCCAGATGCGAATTAAGGCAAATGCTCCGAAAATAATTTTGTAATTGAAGACAGTATAGATATTGATACTGCATCTACAGCAATGATTTAAGTTTATTGAATGTGCAATTAAATAAAAATTTTATAGCGTGTTGCAATTACATTTGTTTTATTATTAAAAACCTTTGATTGCAATCAAATTCTTGATCTTAATCGTGCTTTATTTAAATTTTTACATCATAATTAGTCAGTCTAATGGCTTCAAAATCTTTAGATAAGAACCCGATTTTTAATCGATTATTTGAGAATCGATTCATTTTAGTCCGATTAATCGAATCGTAAATTCTTTTTTGCTAAAATTAATCGATTATGAGAATCGATTATTTTTAACGCGATGTCGCATCACTACCTCACCGTTGACCGTTCCCCCGGCCGTTCGCTCCCCAGTAGGCGAGAGGAAGGGATTTCGAGGGATGATAGATCCGCGCGTCGGCATGAATAAAACCTAAAATATCTCGCTTTAATAATCAGCTGCCGAGTAATTAGCTGCTGTCTATTATATTTCCTATAACAATGCATTTGTTGTATCGTCTTTGATATTGATACATATTGCGATATTTTAAACTTAATTTTTATATATTAAATCTCTGCTCGTTCGAACTGCACTTTCTGCACTTGTTTCTGTCTTCTCTCTCTCTTTCTCTCCCTCTCTCTCTTTCTTTTTCTCTCTCTTGCTCCGAAATCGAATGCGCGAGCGCGAAGTGTAATTGGAGCTAATATTACTGCGGGAGCCAATCGACGCTCCGCTCTTGCGATACTTCGAGAATCGCAATATCGCTCGTCGATAAAGACGGTTGACCCCATCAGTCTCATAGCGTTTTTCATTGGCAGAACTGGTGCGCACTCAGTGCACATTAAAGCCGTTGTACACTGATTTAATCTCTAATATTTAAAGTAAAATGCAAATATTTCGACTGATAAATACATATATTTTACCAAATAGTGCAATAAAGAATATTGAGGATTTCATGATTTAACCCGTTTATATTAAACATACACATTACGTTGATTTGTGTACAACGGCTTTAATGTGCACTGAGTGCGCACCAGTACGGGGATTCTCTAACTCCTTAAGGGTCGACAGGAGTAAGAGTGGAGACCTCTGTCGGCCGGTCG